TTGTGGTATATTTTGTTTTTTTAATAAAATGTATTTAGAGATTAAAATATGAAATGCAAAGTGTGCGCATTTATTATGAGATACCCGTTATTTACTTTTTACAGCCGTGTGTATGTCTTTAGTTTTCGACTTTTTTCAAATATATATAAAACTGCTTTGGAGTCTAGTCGTATATGATTTTGTAGAGAATTTCAAGCGCTATCATTTGATAATAATAAGGACTTTAATCACAGGGATAATAGCGGAGAAATCTTAAAAATACTGAGAGATCCATTATTCCTGTGACACCCGTTATATCCGAACTACAGAAATAAATAAGAGAAAAAATTTCGCCGACAATTTATTACTATTGGAGAGCAATGATTATCTGTTGGGGTTCTGTTATTTTACGTAGTTTACGTAGTTTACGTCAGTATAATGATAGTAAAGATGAGATGTGAATTCCACATTTTAACTCCAAAAGAGCTGCGTTGACAAGTTTTTTATTACAAAAATATAATCAGCAAATTTATGAACAGTATGTTGGATATGATAAGATCTAAGCGCGACAAAGAAAAACATCTGAGAGAGAATAAAAAAACTTATTATTAAAAAGAGGAGAATACATATAATAGATTGAAAAAATACGTATGTCAGGGTAAGAGAGCGGAAAAGTACATATAACGTAATATTTGCTGTTGATTTGACGAGTGTGACATTGAATATTTCGGTGAGTCTATTTCATGTCGGATAATAAATTATGGTTGTCACGTAAATGAACCACACATTAACGTGTTGGTCTCAAAAATATAGGATACAAAATGACTATAACGATTGGTGAGCAACCGCTTAAGCACGCCGTGCTGTAAGATATTTTTTCCATCAAGCATTTAAGTGCATTACAACCATGCAATATACTATTTCTTTAATAAAATCATAATGTCATAAATAACTTGTACATGCTAAGATAATTCCATAGGTTTTAATTAAAGAGCTATTTTTTTTTATCTTTACAATATTGACTTATTGACATTTATTACATGCTAATACATAATCGTTAATTTCGTTATGCATATTGGATCAAAAGTACCTGTGTCATAGCTTGTATTATATTTTATTAATGCATAAATGGTTAAATATTGACGTGTTGTGGTAGGCTTTCAGCAATTGATTGATCATAAATGCAATTATGTAAGATATACTTTTAATCTAATTCCATTCATGAATACATATAATTGTCGATTGCAATCACCAATTTGCTATTTTGATGAATTAATTATGAACAAAAAAAGATGTTTATGATCTTGAATTAACAAACAATGTACTGATATGACATTATTCTACTCAGAGACACTACTATTTCTTCTTACAAAAATAAAACATGACACACATTTTATTACAAAACATCAGCAAACAAATAAAAGAGAACTGTTGAAGTGAAAAAATTAATATTGAACAAAAAGATAATATATATATATATATATATATAAGAATATATTAGGAAAGACAATATGTATATAACACTGCAAGAGAAAAGAAAAAGAAGAGCGCATGCAAAAGTAATAGTTAATATTATTTATTTTGATGGTACGACTTTATAAAATTATGAATGGATATTTTATTTCTCTTCAATTTCGAAATCAAACTAATTAACAGATTTTTTTCTAAATATGTCTTTTTTGACAATGATTTATTAAACTCTATACAAAAATCTACTACTAATTTATAATCTTAATTGTATAATATCCTTAATAAAAATCTTTCGATTTTCATCACTACATCCAGTTGTTATTGCCTTTTGAAAAAAGGCTAATGTACAGTTATGAATTTCTTGATTTTTTTTCAATTTGTTTTAATTTATCTTGACAAAAAGAATTAGTTTTTTTCTTTTCTCTGACTATCTAATTCATCATAAGCTGTATCTTTTGTTATATCTGTATATTTTGGAATTTTTCCTCCTTCATATTCGGGTTCTTAAAGATGTTCTAAACATAAAATTAATTCATAACTACCTAACTCATCTTTTCTTGCTGTTCGTCCTTTAATTTGAATTTCTTCTTTAATATTTACAGAAAAAAATGTTTGAATAACATGAATACCACCTTTTTCATCAACTTTTGTTTCTGATTGAAAATCAACACCACGTCCAAATTCTTTAGTTAATAAAGTAACTTTTCCATGATGTCCAGCATGAATAATAAAAAATGGTATAACACCTAAATCTCCTGAATAAGAATTATAAAATTCATCAAGAATTTTTTCATTTTCAAAAAATATTAAAACAGATCTATCTTCAGCAATCCTTCTTCGAATATGAGTAACAATGGTATTAATCCAATTTTTGATGAAATCTTTATAATAATAAAATCATGATTTTTATTGAATTTTAATTTTGATTTATCAAAGAATGATGGATAATAAGATCTTTTAGTAATATTATAATGTTTTAATAAAGATTCTTCTGCATTAGATAAATCTTTTAAACTTTCACTAACACCAAATATTCCATTAAAAGAATGTGGTAACTCGGAATAAGAAATTCTTTCACAATAAATTACAAAATATCCAAAATTATTTTCATTTAAAATAACTTCTTCAAAAACTTTCTTGTTTTTCATACATTAATTTTAAATAATAAAAACTATTTTCATAATTATAGATAGTACTTGAAGAATATTTTCCATCCGAATCTTTAGCATATATAACATTATCTGTGATTTTAAATTTATCTTTAAACGTATTTATATTATTATGAATATTTAAAGCAGTATTTATCATTTCTTTTAAATGATTTTTTAATATATTTGAATGTGCTAAATTCGATAATAGTTTATCTTTATCAATTAAACTAAATAATTTTAGCTCAAAGAAAGTTTTCAATTGACCTTCATCAGATTTATTAGTCACTATGTGTTTCCAAATGTCTTTTTGAATTTGAGTAATATGTTTATTTTTAATTGTAACTACTGCATTATACATTTTATCAAATTGATGTGAAAAAAATACGTCAACTTCATCAATTAATAGAATTGATTTTTCTTCTTCATTTTCTTTAATATTTATAGGAGATAATTTTTCTTCTGATATAATATCTGAAATTATATTTCTTAAAGTTTTATTACTGTTCTGATTAGATAATTTCTCATCACACATTGTTTCAAATGTTCTATATTTAACATAATTTGTAAAATTAAAAGGTTCTAAATTTTTTTTTAAAATTATTTTCATCTCTTCGAGATTAAACTAAAAAATCCTCCTAAAAGAGCTAATGCCCAAGATTTTTCTTGTCCAGTGAAAATCTCAGCAAGATGATTAGAAGGAAGTAAAGTCATATTTCCATCAATACCTATAGCATTAATATTCCAAGAATTTGAATACAATGATGCTGTAACAAATAATTTGTATTATATTTGTCTTTCAATATATATTCTCCATGATGTTTTTCGATAAAGTCAGACACCCTTAAAGAAAGTACAACTGATAATCCAGCAATGATAGTTGGGATAGTTTCTTTTTTAAAATTTGATTTATTAGCAATTTTTTTAGTTCCTTCAGTTATATGTTTAATTGAAGTTTTTTTCTCAATAATATCATCAAAGTACTTTCGAAATAATTTTTCATATTCTACAAACGCATTTTTAATCTTTTCAATTCCTAATAAAGTACCATTTTTTTTTGAAATAATTTTAAAGCGTCAACAAGTTTTATTTCTCTTAATAAAAAAAATAAATCAATTTTTTCTAATTTATCACAAAATATTTCATAAGATTCATTATCGATTGTTACATCTTTGAATGGCATAACACAATCTTCTGTAAATTTTGATAAACGATTATATGTTATTTGATCATTAAAATATTTAAAGGATTTTCCTGTTGCCATTATTAATGCTGCTCTCAATTTAATAATATCTGTGAAACTTGCTTAATTAATTATCTTTACATTTTTAATAATTCTATGATTGTCTCTAAAACATAATGAGGACATGAATTATTTATGTTTTCTTTTGCTTTATCAATATTTAAAACTCTATATATATCATATTTTTCGACTTTTTCAAATAGACTATCATCAAACTTATTAATCAGTTCCAGTTCTACGAGCCAAGTCACATCTAATGATCCTAAATTAGTTAAAAAATTATTTATTTTTTGCATAGTAAATAACTTATTTTCAAATTTATTTGGATTATCTTTTTTTTATCATTTAGAATATTATTTAATAAAGATTCGAGATTGATTTCATGTTTAGGAGCATAATCAACTGGACTTATATTGGTTTTATCTTTTATTTCTATATTAGCACCTTTTTTTTCAGAAGAAATGAAATAATATCTTTGTTTCAATTGCCCTATGTGAAGCAGTTTTTCCAGATTGCTCACCTTGCTCATTAATATCTGCACTTGCTTCTAATAAAATTTTAATATCAGTCATATCTTTTTTGACAACTGAGTTTCGTAAAGCAACCTCCAAACTAGATGTCTTATATTTGTTTAATACATCAGAAAGATTTCTCGTAGTTTCTTTTTCTGTTTGAAGAATTTTCTCTTCTTGAAGAATCAATTTAAAAATATCTGTTATTAAAGATATGATTTTTGAAGCATGATTATGAAATTCCGAATGTATATTGAACGGAAATTTTTCTTGAAAAATCTGAAATAATTTGTAAAATTCTACATTAAAATTAAGAAAATGATCAATAAGTTCTGTAATACTTTGTTTTTCTTCAATAAATTCTCTAATTGTAACTCAGTTATATCTCGAATTTGAGAATTTTCACTTATTGAAATTTGTAAAAAAATAATCAATTATTTTTTTTAATTTCTTTCATTTTATTTTGATAATTAAAATTTTTATCTTTCAATAAACTATCCTGATAATAAGCTATCATTGATTCTAAATGGGTAGAAAATTTAAATGAAATATTTAGCATCTATATCCATATCCTCAGCGTGAGAACATGAATTACTTGTTGGTAAAACGTTAAGAATATAATTTTTAGAATCTTGCAAAATTTTAATTAATAATTGATCTCCTATAACTTTAGTCGAAGTATCTTGACGAATAGATTGATTTAAATAGTCGGATCATTTCTTAATTTCAATATTCATCCATGGTTTACAATTATTTAAAGAAAATTTCATTACTTTATAGATAATTGCTTCAATATGATTTTTATTAATTTTCTTATCTACTAAAATATCTTCATTTAATTTAAGTTGAAAATTTTCTTTTATTAACGTCTGTTATTTATCATTGAAACTTATTTCCTCATAGATTTTCATATCATTTTTTCTTCTCATAAAAATCCAAGTCATATTTTCTTTTAATTGTTTGATTTTAATGCAACGTAAAGTCTCGAAAAAGTGTTTAATATCGATGCTTAAATTCTTCCTTGCATGAAATGATACAATAATAACAATAACATCATTAGGATCAATCTCCTCTACAATAGAATGAATAAGATCAGCTTCTCCTATATCAAAAAATCGTTCTGATTTTTTTATACCAAGTGTCCCATCAAAGACAATTACATTTGTATCTGATTGATTATCATTTAATGTTTTATGAAAAAACATTTTCTCCATTAAGTTTTACTAGAATAGAACTATTCTTATGATTTTCTTCTAATTTTTTTGATTCTATTTCAATTTCAAATTCATATAATAAAGAAAGTTCTAATAAATTCGAATAATAATCTGAATAAAAATGATATTTTTCATTATTTTCATCATCGAATCTATTAGGAATTGAATTATAGTTTAAATTTTGAAAATAACTTTTCCATGTAGTTTGTAAAAATACTGTATGAATATTAATAAACTGAATTCGATATTGAGAAGGAATTTGAATTAATCTTTCATTAGCAAAACGTATTAAAATGTTTTAATTAAATCAATTACAGATGGATTTAAATAAAGTATTAGTTTTAAATCAGATAATTGAAATTTTATTAAAAAATTATTTAAACTATTATCAAAGATATTCTTCGAAGAAATACAACCAATTTTATTCTCATCTTCAGATCATGCTAATTTTCGAGCATAATTTTTTAAACCTCTTTGACAAATATTATTAATACAATCATTACATTGTTTTGTTCTATCTGTTTTAGTCTATTTATTTAAATTTGTATAACTATGATCTAATTTAACACATTCGACCCGACTCAGTTTTTGTAAAAATTTTTTCAGATTGTTCATTTTCGTGAACAATTATCTTCTAATAAATGCACTTAATGACCTTTTGGCTATATTCTACTGGTTATTTGTCGTTCTCTTGTTTATACTACTAAACAATGAGTCATTTTTTACTGACCAAGTGACTAATGGCTTAAGTTAGTTTTTCGTTCTTTTGTATATTGTACGAAGCATGTGTGAGAAAAAGAAAGAAATTTCCAGTATTTTCTCCCTTATTCTCTTATCTATACCGTTTTGCATATAAATACAACCGAATTTTTGGAGCACTTCACATGTCGTTCGAAGAAATCGATACAGAAAGTAGTGCTAGTTCATTCAGTGAAGTGAGTTCACTGAATGATGAGTTTGATACAACGCACCTTGATTTTGACAATTCTGACGAAGAAATTACTGACGAAGACAATAACGATAATATGAATTTATATGCCTGGAATGAAATAGAACCAGAATCTGATGCAGAATTCTTGGAAGATCATGGGCTTATCGGGGATGTAACTTCTACTTCAGAAGATAACACAATTAATCCTATCGACTGCTATCGACATTTCATTACGGACGAAATTATTGACCTTATGGTTCGTGAAACTAATCGATACGCACAGCAATACTTGCAAAGTCATGTGATCAGTAGACGATCAATGTTTCAACGATGGAAACCAACCACTAATACAGAGATGTTCAAATTCTTTGGAATAATTATTGAAATGGGATTAGTACAAATGCCGAAGCTGAAGTATTATTGGAGCTCTAGTCCATTATATGGATCAAAGATCATTCAAAATACCATGTCAAGAGAAAGATTTGAATCACTCCTAAAATTTTGGCATTTTTCGAATAACAATGACAAGAATTCGAACCAAGATAGACTGTTCAAGTTGAAGCCACTCTTAGATTTACTAAAAGAAAGATTTTCATCAGTATATATGCCTGGCTCAATTATCAGTATAGATGAAAGTATGATACCATGGCGTGGCCGACTTTTATTCAAACAATACATACCTGGAAAAGCACACAAGTACGGTGTAAAGATGTACAAATTAGCAGCGACCAATGGTTATGTTTGGAATTATGTAATTTATACCGGTGAGCAAGATTCAACGGCAGGTGTCGGACATGCTCAAACAGTAGTAATGAAACTATTAGATGGTCTTGATGGATGTTATCGAACCGTCGTAGCTGATAATTTCTTTACCAGTATTTCCCTGGCGGAATGTTTGTTGGAACATGATACATATCTCATTGGAACATTACGAACGAATCGTGTTGGATCAGGAGGTAGAGTTCTTGAAGAAAATCTTAGTCGTGGAGAAGTTTGTGGACTTCAGAACAAAGATGGAATTAAATTAATTAGGTGGCGAGACAAGAACGATGTCTTGATGATATCTACAAGACCGTCACATTCAGCAAGTGTAGTAGATAGTGGAAAATTAAATTTTCAAAATGAGTCGATCATGAAGCCCCAAGTCGTATTAGATTATAATAAAGGAAGACAAGGCACTGATTTATCTGACCAGTTATCAACATATTACACGTCTCTCAGGAAATCAGTAAAATAGTACCGAAAGGTAGCATTTGAATTAGTTTTTGGGACGGCACTAGTAAATAGCTATTTGATATACAAGGAGAACTACATCGAAAGCAAAGTGACCATCTTGCAATTTCGTGAAAATCTTGTCCAATCTTTACTGCTTGGCACGCCGATCGAGAAGCTGAAACATGGCTCCAGGCAACAACCAGCAAGGTATTCGAAACGCAAATTCGCTGATCACAAGCTCGAAGAAAAGGAAGGATCTACGCGCAATGTTGGTAGACGGTGTACTGGCTGCTATGCGAAGGAAAGGGCAGAACAGTCAAGACAAGCGAGCAATGCAGCAGCAAAGAAAGTCAAAACATTCTGTTCTGACTGTGATAAGTTTTTTTGTCTCGAGTGTTTTAATGATAAGCATTATGCTATCGAATAAAGAATTCAAACAAAGTACTGAAGACAGAAGATATGACAGCTTACGTCTAATCTCCTGCTTAAAAAAAAGCAAAAGAAAGTGCTTTTCTATACGATTTTTCGTTAAATTATAGCGTCGCCCACCGGTGGGCGACGTCGGGTCGAATGTGTTAAATAAAAGATTGGCTGATATTTTTAATTCTCGAGGTAAAATAGGACTAGTAACAATTTCTTTTAATAAACTAAGATTTGAAAGACATTTCTCAAATAAACCTATTAAAATTTGTAAATATTGTCTTCGTTTTTGTTGATTTTCATTATTTAATAAAATTATAGATTCTAAACTATTATAAAAGACTTCATATTGATTTTTATAATATTGTTCAATATCATTTATATAAATAAATTCTGTTTTTCCTTCTTTCCACTCAGCTACAAGTTTAAGAATATCTTGGATAATTGTACTTTTTCATAACCTTCTTTAAGTATTCCCTTTTGAAATTCACCATGATAAATAATTGAACCATGGTTTTTAAAATTAAAATCATATCCATCAGGCTTATCATCTTTCCATGAACCAGAATAATATTCTTCTCCATTATTAATACTATATATACCTTGTCCTTCACGTAATAATTTTTCATTAATTGTACCATCGTAAATTCCGTTACCGATCGGTACAAGATGTTGATAAAATTTATCTTCTTTTCTTTTAACACTTGAAATTTCAGGCAAATATACTATATCAGCTATATCATTTCCATCATCACTATTATACTCATCATCATTTTTAGGATATATTTTAATAGATCTTATATCTTCGACACGATATTTCTTTTCTCTTTCTTCTTCACGACTTGTCATCATTTCTTATTATTACCGCTTAATTAAATCTTTATCTCTTAATATATACACTATTGTGTATCGCTAATAAAGATCATATAAACAACAAAAGCAAAAAATTATTTAAAAAAGAATATTTGAATACACATCTAGAATAAAATTGATTAAATCTTACCTTTTATTTTTTCATAATTTCATAATAATATATAATATGTAATAATTACAGCTTAACACGAAATTAAACTATTACATCTGCTTTTCAAATTTTGAAATATATGAATATTCAACAAGTAAATATTAAATATGTAATGCGAATGATTTCTTACAATAGGACATGTCCAAAATATTGTTGCTGTCTGCCTTGTTTTTTTCTATTTTGTGCGTATATTTATCGGTCTATACAGCACGTACTAGGGAGATAGATAAAAAACGATTTTATCTACAGACGAAGGAGAAAAAATACCCTATTTTTTCACCTTTTTTACATAGTATGTGCGCAAGAGGCAGAGAAAAAAGCCGAGATAAAAATATTGTTTATGATATGGCTATTGTATAGAATCAATGTGAATAGTGACGACGGGTTGGGATACATTTGATTGTCTGGCTCATTCACATAATATACTCCATATTCACTTGTGAAATATTCTTATATTTTGAAATTTGAAAGGTAAGTACAATAGTTTAATTTTCCGTTAAGCTCTAATTATTATATTCACATGGTATTACGAAATTATGACAAGAAGAAAGTAAAATTTTGAAATCTTTTATAAATAGTTTAAGAAATTCAAAAATTAAATTATGATGAATCTTATAGAAGACAGTAAAGAAGAAATTTCAGAAGAATACTATCAGTTTAGTACTCAAGAAGAAATACGACTTGATGCATTAAAAGAGCAAGCTATAATATTATCAGGAAAAATAAGTGAACATTGTCATTTATTTCGAGCTCGTTTAAGAAATGGACAAGTATTAGGTTATACAGATATAGTTGCTAAACTTTATTATGATATTCCATATGCGAACTATAAATATTATAGTCAAAGTTTCGTTAAAGATAATTTATTATCAGTAAAAAAATATTTAGAAAAGTTCGTTCAACAATTTAGTAATGAACAGCAAATAACTGATAAGATTAATATTGTAAAAGAGGCAAAATATCTTTTAGATTCCGTTTGCGATGGGTATGGGTGTGGGTGTGGGGTGGATATGGTTGTGGGTGTGGATGTGCGTGTGAGTGTGAGTAAAGAAGAGACCCACATCCACACCCACACCCACACCCTCACACCCATACCGACACCCACATCCACACCCTCACACCCATACCCTTTAGTATGAAAGCTAAAATGGTACTTCAATCATCTCTTTTGATGAATTCCTCAGCTACAATCGCCTCTCTGACATTAAGGAAAAGCAAACAGAATATAAAACAGAACCAGATTTATCGTATTAGGTCTAAGTCATTCTAAATAAACGGGTACAGGTTTACCGAATTATACCCGCATCAACATACCAAATGGGCACGGGTTTTCCGAATAATACGCATTGATAAAGAATTATATTGTTTGCATGAGTGCGGATTTTCTGAGTACCCCTCATAAACAATAACGGGAAACGGGTTTTCCGATGAAAGTCCCTCCTCTTCAAGCAGAATGATCTCTACGTGTCAAAGAGGAGACACATGGATAAGGTTTTTCTTAAATATGGCCAACAATCCTGCGTCTGGTGTGAAGTAAGTGCACAACTATTTAAATGATACTTAAACTTCCAGAGAAGTATAAATGAGTGTTAATCGACTTGTAAAGTGTTTTCAGTTCTTTTGCATAACATCATGCTTGTACAAGATTAGCAAACGCTAACCCATTTTACCTTCGTAAATTACAATAAATGATAATTCAACAGTCTATATAGACTGTATAGTTATTGAAATATATTGTACTTGTGTAAAAAGTACTTTAGATATATCATAGTCTTCTTAAACTTCTATTTTTTTTCAGAAAAAATATTCATAATAATTTTTCCTCATAGACACCGTCTAGTTGATCGGCCTTGTAAGCCATTTTTGGACATCATTCAAAATTTAAAAAAAAATTTTTTTAACCATTTTGTAGAGGAAAAAAGTTATACAAATAGAACGGTCAGCGTGGGATCTCTTAAAATGACTAAATGGAAGCTGATACACTGTAATATACTGCAAAAAAATCGATTCTTTTTTTCACTCGAAAATGACGAGTCATGGATAGTATTTCATAGATAACTCTCGATTCGTTCATGGAAACCTAACATATTAAAAGATGATTTTGTTCAGCGTTCGAAGCTCTATCTTTTGGAATATTAAATGAAAAATTTGATTAACTTATTGTCATCTAAAAGAATCTTAACTTTCTATGCAGGATTTTTTATGGTTTTTCTCAACTAAGCCTCTTATCCCCCGACAGGTGCAACCGAGCTAACTTTTCAATGGCTCAACCAAATGGTCTAAAAATTTGGGTTTAGAGGTTTTAAATGATGCTGAACAAAATGAGAACACAAAAACAAAAATTGAAATTTTATCGAGTACTTCGATATCTGTGACGGTACTCGATCATCTCACGCACTCTCTCTTAAAAGTTTGAAGCTTCCTCATGGAAGAATCAGTTCTGTTAAAAACGATCTGAAACGAGTGTTGAACTCTTTATGGATAGAAATCTGGATCTACCGCCCTTTCCTCCCCACGGACCGTGATAGTCAGGATTTTGGATCCGTCACAGACCGTGACAGACAAGGTCTGGAGTTTGTTTATCGTCTCTTGTTTAAGTCAGTAAATATTTCTTTTGCCTTTTAAAACTTAATTACTAAATTATCGTGTATATAACTATTGATTCATGGATTCCAAGTTGAACCTGACTTTGCTTGCAAATGAGACAAAACTGAAGTTTTGTTAATTATTCTTTTATCACAAACAAACAAAATACTACGCACTATCGTCAAAAATTGTATCATTTTTTTGCAGTGCAGGAAAGAGAACCCCCTTGTTGTATCTTACTCCATTTTAAAAGTTTTCATTTTGATGTTGAAGCTTTGTTTCATACACCTATTTTCAAAAATATCATCCATATACCACATTAATCGATACCTTCCCTGGAGCGTTGATTTTATTGTGGAACTCACGTATATTTTCGGAGAGAATAGTGAATGTAAGTTTTAAGATCAAGGTTTTCCGGCTACCCTTCTCTCCCCCACCTCATTACATACACATAGCAACGAGGAACAGAACATTACAGACATAACCCCTCTTCTCCCACCCCTCATTATAGACAGGTCACCATTACAGACGTCAGCAACCGCACACAATTCAGATCCTATCCAATTTTCTAATGCATCGATAATTATTCGAAAAGAAAACTATTTCTCAGTTTAGAAATAATGCATTAGGATAACAACTCGGATGCACATACGTGAGTTCTACATTTCAGCTCCAAAGGAGCTGCGCTGATAAGGTTTTGCACTTGTTTTCTTTGTATACCTTTCCAGTTATTTGTGAAAAGAAAAATACTATAACTGTTTTTTCATTTTAATTTTCGTTTCCTCTTCCTAAAAATTAAAGAAGAGCATAGCATTCTTCATTGGGCTTGACGTTAAAAGCAATAAAAATATTTATAAAAAATTGGAAATAAAATATTGTCTCGTTATCGGGCACAAAGCAAGATTTAACTAAAAATTTAAGGGAAAAACAATCCACAAAAAAAAGTTATTGATCAAATTTTCAGTAAAAAAATGCATGTCCTAGTTAACTTATGACAAAAAATATATAAATGAAACAGAAAAGTGGTCCTACTTATCATGATACTTTTTCCTTTTCTTCGCTCTGAAACTAGCAGTAATGGCACGGATCCTTTTTGATAATTTGCATACATGATGATCTTCAACCGCTAACGAAGCACGCGTTCGAGTGATGTTTATCAGTTGTGAATGTTCACTTGTGAGATAGAATTCGTGCCAAAAAAAAGAATCGTAATCGTCTGAAATGATTTTTACAGAAACTTGATGACTGTCGGATGCGGTTACCAAAGCCTACCGGAAGCAGTGGCCCCAAAGCACGTCTACAATGAGTATTCTAGTTAAGTTCGAAGTTGCTACCCTAATTAAGAACATGATCGAACGGCGAGTACACTCTAAAGCTAAGATGTCAACTGAGGACAAAAATCGAACGCAACTGTTATAAGGATGAGTACTGCTACATGAAAAACTTTGGGATGGTACAGAACAATGAGTAATAGCTGAACGAGAAGTTTGGCTTGGCAGAGTCACTATTAAACAGAACCGATCTGACAGATCTTGATATTAAGCTCGAAGTAAATAATGTAATTTATTCTGTCGGTTGAGAATGTAAGTTGTGTTAGAAGCTGACTTCCCACAGATATAGATAAGAGAACGATGATTTCGACTGAAACTTAAATGAAAATAACGACTGGAAAAGGAATCTGAATCAAAGCAACGATAAACACGATGATGGTAGCCGAGGCAGCAGTTGGATGCAACTCTTCAGTTTCTGTGAGGACGAGAAACGATCCTGCGAACAAGACTTCATCCAAATGTCGATTTTTGACGTGGAATATGTGTATGGACAAGAAATGCTTCCAAAAGTGGCAGTAGAAACCAATATCTTCTGTCATAGACAGAAAGGACTGTTGAACTCGGTTTTGACAGGATCCACGATATAAAGTAGTGTAATATTGCTTGTGAAGCTTGTATATTTTACCTATCCTGTGTAACGATAGGAAGCAAAATAAAAATAAAGCCGTGATAGTATGCACATTTTTCCAACCATCGATTAACTTTATCTCTCTTCATTATTCAAGCTATCTGATCGATAAGTGAAAGAACAAGCAAAAGAATAATAACATTTTTGTGGAAAAAAATCCAGTTTGTCTCAATAATATATGATCATGCTTTATCCCACGTATACGGTTGATTGCACGCAAGCGAAATATTTTTTCGATATGTACATAAGCAATATAATGCTTTCATTTTTCTTATTAAATAATATCGATACATTACCAACGTGTTACATTCTTCATTACAATATACATCACAATAATACAACAAATACACGTAAGTATTTTGATACTGCAGTATTTATCATAAGCCCTTCTAATCTATCAGTGTTCAAAAGATTTTTCTATTTTTAAATGATAATAGTAATTAAGTATAGTTTATGTGAGCTTTATATTGTGTCTAAAGGTATGGAAAGAAGAAAATGAAAGTGAATATTGGCAAATTTTACCAATTTTATGAAAATAGTGATGAAATTAGTGACTTTTTTCTCTTCAACACAGACCGTTTGCGGCTATTCGGGAATTTAATGAAATGGATAGCCATTAATATGCTACTGAAATCGGTTCTGATTATTCGATAGTTGTAAGAAAACCTTGGTGATTTGTACCCGTGCTCTCTACGATTCGGATAAACACCGGAACTATTTGTTGTGCATAGGTAGTTATTAGGATGCCTTGAAAAATTGCAAAGATAAACAGATTAGGAACACTTCAACAATACTCTTCACAACTCTAAACAATTGAAGTGATTCACGCCTTAAAGCCTTACATCTTTGTTATAAAAACATCATTCTGATTCTACGAAGAGCTGCCTCTCATGTCAAATCTTCGTATCTCGACAGTTTTTAAAGGCATAATAACAGCCATCTATGTTCAAAGGAAGACAACGGTGTCTTTTCAAGGAACATAGAAAAATGAATAAAGATTGGCTAGATATTCTAAGAATTTTCCAATAGAACTGATTTTGAAAGCTTATTTCTACCACTTCTTTCATATGGTTATATTTATGCTCTGAGGAAATTTATCCACAAATAGAACAGAGTCTTAAACTAGGATATGCCAATAAATTGCTATTTATTATAATTATTATTATTACTATAAAAATCCAATTTTTTAACCTTGTATATGCTTGGAGGACAAGTTCAAAAGCTATATTTTTTTTTGGAGAATGCTGCACTAATATTTCCTTAATGAGAAATCTCAATAAAACTCTGATTTTTCTGTTACAGTAGAAAATCGAAAAAATCAGAAATAGCTCACAATGACGCTTTGGTTTAGAAATTGTCATCGAGAATTGTCGTGCTACAGATCTAATGGTTTTTCAAATTAAGTCGAATTTGAGGTTATGTGAAGTCTACATAAAAAAAGAACGGCGTTATGGAGAAATAGAATGAAGCATAACAGTGGCTAGCCGTGAGAAGTGTCTCGAAAGGTTCCCAACAAACAAGTAGCCGGTGCACTAAAAGCTCCCTTAAAGACACGCTTCAGGCTGTTTGTATTCATCAAACAAACATCAACAGTCTAGACCTAATAAGTTTGAATTAGGAGTAGCAGCTGCTGTTCACTGAGAAATATTTTGAGATGAAGTGTGAGAGCGCTTTTTCTGCACATGCACAATGTTTTAATACTGCATTTGGCGAAAAACATCAGTCAGAGTTTTTTATTCATGGTATGAGAAGTAGATATAAATGAAATAAACGGGAATTTTTCTGCTTGTATGTGCTCTTGTCTGTAAGCATTCAAATGTCGAAATGTATACGAATATATTCAAATTACCTATCTAATCTGACGGTTACTTTGAGTAGGAGCTTTTTTCAAGCATGGAAGTACGATTGAAGACTAGATCTAGAATAATTTATTTTAACCTAGGAGTTCAATTGAACCTGTATTTTTGTAGCGCGCATCCGAGTAAAAAATATTGTCCGCTAACGTTTCGGTAAGCCAACGAATTTTTAGTAGAAATTTCAAGTAGTATGGTGCTGTTTCACAATAGTATCGTGAATGCGTTGTGCTTCGTGACCGCTTAGAAAATTGAACATAATCTGTTCTTCTAGTGCATGTGGACGTCGCCGCCAGCGGAAAAGAGTAGCTGATGAGATTACAGTAAAAATACTTTCACTTTACTTAGAAAAGTAGATGGCCTTGAAGATTTTCCGATGTTACACACGAATCCGGAGTTGAAATTTTAATTAAAAAAGATATTTAGATTCATATTCGCGAAAATAATGAAAATAATTACATTTAAAGTCGCAAAAAATAATCAAAAGTGCGTAGTTTCTTATTTTGTGAATTTCTCTCTAACTGTATGCTCAATGACAGACTTTTTAATAATCGAAATGATCAGCGTAAAAAGTTCTATCAAATGATGCTATTTGAAGACCAATCGGAGATCATACATGTAACGTCAGGAGAAACTCCATAGAATTACCGAAGTACTTTATAGAATGTGAATCTATGAAAAGTTAAGTTGGCAATATAGGTCTCACTTGACTCGACTGTTATTGTCAGATCATGAGGAGTACCAAGTTAAAAATAATTTACATCAAGACCAATTAATTTTTGAAATGGTTTATCCAATATTTGAGCTGAAAAATGTGATGAACTATATACAGCAGTTCTCGTTTACTTCCAACAGTTTTTAATCATACATTTTTAAGGGAATCCAAAAAAGTATCGCTGAAATATAGCAGAAATATGAGAGTAAGAAAGTTTCTTATCAATCACGTTAACTGTTTTGCTCATATGAATAATTAGTGACTGCCAATAATCTGTTAATGCTAGTTGAAAATAGGTCACCGATTGATGTGTAGAAATTTCCTTTACGAGTGGTCTACACTTCTTTGGTCTTTTTAGAAAATTTATCATGTTCATATATATTCGTTGACTATTCCTTTAACTTTTGTTCCTTTAACTATATGTGAGAGTAGTAGGTCTATAGCAGAGATCGGCGAGTCACTCAAAACTGCGACTCGCCACTGCCTCGCCATACTGACAACCCTAGAGAATGTACTGAGCTAAGGGTACCCGAAAAAGTACCCGGTTACCAGTATGTCACAGGAACTTTAGGGTACCAAAGTACTTGGAAGTACTTTCAGGTACCTAAGTGGTACTTTAACAAGTACCCTGCTACAAAATGTGTAGTAGCTGGGTACTTGAAGGTACTGATCAGATACTCAATTGGGTACTATTGCATAGTATTTCTAGGTACCCTGTTACAAAAATTTCAGTATGTTCAGGATCGAACCTGACCTTTAACTTTTTTTAATTTTTGTTTCTCTCAAAGCAAATTACTACAATTCTTTTTCGATTTTATTCAAATTAATTTTTTCAATTCCGAAAACTTAGCAGGTACAATGCCGGGATCTGACCCGACTTGAGTTGGTCAAGTATCCATCAGACCACTTCAGAGTAGTCCGCTCTTAATCTACGATCAAGATCGGCATGTTCTCGACTAAGAAATAGTCAAGAAATAATCTAGAAAAAATTAGTATAAAAATAGATTAATTTCTTATGTCTTACGCAGTTGTTTATGTGGAGCCGTGCGTGAAGAAGAAAACGGTGAATGAATAGTCGCTACATAGAACGCGACAAATATAGGGTACCCTATATAGCTTTCCTCAGTAAAATTACAGATGCGAGTACCCATACAAGTACTTGTTAAGTGAGCGTACTTTTATGGGAACCACACGCAGTACCTACATCAGTATAATTACTGAGCATTTTTGAAGTACCCATATTGGGTACCCTGCTAGGCCTTTCTCAGTACATGGGTACCCTGAACTCAGTACTTTCTCTAGGGAAGTTACCCATTGCTACCTCGCCTCGCCTCGCCTACGGTCTAGTATAAAAACGCGTTTTTTTAAGGAAATTCTTCGACCAATCACAATAACTACTATGTAGCTTATTTCTTTTGATCAAGTTCAGTACATTTCATGCCCATAGATAAGTGCAAAAAACAAAAATACAAAATGAGATACAAATAAATAATGCTTTTATAATGGCAATGAGTTTTTATCGAAATTCAGATCTATATTGGTTAGGTAATATTTCGACGTGAGACGAAATAGTATTAGCACCAAAAAATACGTTATCTACATGAATTTTCCATGCTTTGCCTCTATAGAGTAAAATAAGAGAATGACAAAAGAATATGTAAGGATAAGTTATGCAATACCCAAAGAAATACATTCTTGAACAAAAGGTCGAAGTCCTTGATCAATGACGGCCAAGTATGGTATGATACTCATACAGAACTGTTCTACAAGAAGGTTTTCTATTTTTTTACTTTTTTCTTCGCTTATTTTAATCGATTCTGGGCGGTTACAGGTGAAAAAAAGCATTTTTTGTTTTAAAGGTGATGAGGACGTTGTATCAGAGTGTTTTGAAGATCTTATTGATGAACATCCACAAATGTACTTGTTTATTTGCGAGGTGCTATTATTATTGTAAGAATATGTTACATAGCGATGTTTACATGAGACAAGGTTGTTTAATTTTGTCACCACACCACCTTAATTATCAGTAACAGCTGGAAAACCAAACCGAGACTAGCAACTTGTCGTTTGTTTCTTCCTATTTTCGACTATTGTTAGATTTCCATCTTTACGCATGAATCAATTATAAGTCTTTCTACAGAACATTCGAGAAATATCTGATAATGTATGATCAGCATTGCGGGAATCTGAACAAGTTTCTTATGTTACATCGATAATATGATCAGAAGAAGAACAATAGTTTGCCAAGCAATAATACGTATCTAGATTAAAATTTTTATCGTAAAAGTTTCTATTAGCTAACATAACAAAGGTCACATTAGTTAAATTCACAATGGTAATTGTGTAAGGCTCCAAACAGACTGACGTAATTTAAAGTCAATTAACCAATGTTATTGAC